GGAAAATCCCCAGATTCTCTCCGCCTGCCTGGCCGTGAGTACCCCGGTCCTCCTGCAAGCCCCTGCTGGCTGCATCCCTCAGTTCCTAAGAGCCTGGCTGCAGGGTCCCAGCAGAAGCATCCCGCCCCTCTGTTTCTTAAGAACCCTTTCTTTAGATTCCGTGCCCAGTCTTAACTAGCCGGTTTATGTTGCTATTGATACTTCTTTTTTTCTTAAAGATTTATTTATTTATTGGAAAGTCAGATATACAGAGAGGAGGAGAGACAGAGAGAAAGATGTTCCACCCAATGGTTTACTCCCCAAGTGAGCGCAGCAGCTAGAGCTGAGCCAATCGGAAAGCAGGAGCCAGGAGCTTCTTCCAGGTCTCCCACACGGGCGCAGGGGCCCAAGGCATTGAGCCATCCTCAACTGCCCTCCCAGGCCACAAGCAGGGAGCTAGATGGGAAGTGGAGCTGCCGAGGTTAGAACCGGCGCCCATATGGGATCCCGGGCGCGTTCAAGGTGCGGACTTGAGCCGCTAGGCCACGCCGCCGGGCCCCCTATTGATATTTCTTAAACTTACTAATGAGTGGGCCCGTCGCGGTGGCACAGTGGCGCAGTGGTTAAGGTCTTTGCCTTGCACGCCCGGGGATCCCATATGGGCGCCAGTTGTAATCCCGGCGGACCCTGCGCCCGCGTGGGAGACCCGGAAGAGGCTCCTGGCTTTGGATCAGCATAGTATCGGCCCCGTTGCGCTCACTTGGGGAGTGAATCATCGGACGGAAGATCTTCCTCTGGGTCTCTCCTCTCTGTATATCCGCCTTTCCAATAAAAAAATAATAAAATAAATCTTCAAAAAAACTTATTAATTAATTTGTGGCCACATCCAGCCAACTAATGAGTTCACTGAAGACATTTGTCATTTCTGTTTTAATGTTTTTTTCTAATTTCTGGCATTTCCTTTTGATTTGGATTTGGTGTTTATTTCTATGCTCACATTACGTGCCTATTCTTACGAGTCATCTACTACTTCTACTCTCCTTCTGCGTATTTGATCACAGCTCTTTTAAATCTTTGTCCTGGCTGTTACAATTCTAGCACCCTGCTATTGACAAGGATAGTTTAATCAGTCTGGAGAAAAATCAGTTCGAAATTTGTGGTACTGAAGAAAAAAATATTGGAGACCTCAGAATGTCATGAAAAATACTCATCGAGAAAACGAGGCAGATGTCCTTTTGTTGCACTGGGATAGACCTATCTTCTGTTTATCCTTGTATGTTCTGTTTCTGGTGTTTTCTTGGTCTTTCCGGAATGTGTTGCCTTTTGGTGTGCCTTGTCATGTTCTTACTGCAAGCCAGGCCTGAAAAACTAAGTCAGTGATAGTGTGTGCTTCTGTGCTTACCTGGCTTAGACTTGGACTCTGTTTCTCGATTGCTGTAGGTGTCAGAGACTGACCTGTCCTTTGGCGTGCTGCCTTTCTTGACCCCTGAAACCTCTGGCCTTACCTAGGTATTTGGATCGTCGCCTTAGATGTGCAGTTTGCCTTACTGCATTGCGGCATTCCTGTACCGATCTGTATTAATGTGGTGGCGAGGTACTGGGGAAGAGAAGCATCCTGTGCCCTGGGGATGTGAGCCTCCCAAGTGCTGCTTGGTGTAGAATACCTCCAAAGGAACTGGAGGAGTTGCCGTGGAACCCTCGGCACCGAGTCTGTGTTGTACGGGCAGAGGGTCAGTCCCCACAGAATGGAGGTATCTTGCAAAGCATGGAGCAATCTGGCGGGAAGGTACCATTGCTGTGTTCTCTGTGGGGCTGTGTGTCGGTTCTTAGAGTCGAGCTAGACTTGGTCATATCCAACTTCCCGGTGTGTCACCAATGTGTGTGAGCCTTTTCTGATTGGGCAGTGGTCTTGGGTCCTTGGGAAAATGTTGAGGATGGTAGAGATTGGGCCGCTGGAAGGTGTTGGCTACGTTTTGCTCTGTGCTTGGGGAGCCTGCGAAGAAACTTTTCAAGACAAGCCCCAACATGAAGAAGTTATCTTCAGGGGAATTACATGATTAGGGGCGTCCCATGATGAGGGATCTTGTAGGCTCAGCAGCACCACTCCCTCAGTTCAGTAAGCTCGTCTGAGTTGGAAGTTGGGTTACAATCATAAAGCCAAAAAAAAACTCTAGGGCACAGAGACTGTTGGAGAGTAGGACCTGGTGCTAGGCAGCACTGGCATAAAAGCCATCGGATAGGCACAGGATAGGTATGGGAAAGGCATGGGATAGGCATCTCACGTTTGCTTTTGCCTTTGCTCTCACTTCCCTAGGGAGAGACAGGAAGACTGAAGGAAGTAGAGTGGATCACTTCACTTCTTCCCAGTCTTCTCTAGTGGATAGGCTTAGTTCAGATCAGAATATCTGGGGCATATAGTTACACCTGCCTGCTATTCCATACTCCCTCTTGTGGAAGGATAAAGTTATGTCTGATGGCCACTGTGAGCCAGAAGCTGATGGGTTTTGGATGCTGTTGTGGCATTCGCTGTAAGATAGGACGCCCATGGAGTTTGTTCACTGCCCATGTGTCTACTGGGCCTTCAGCACTGTGTGAGGGAGCAGACGAGATCTTGCTCCCCTGGTCGTAGTCATGGTGAGGTTTCTGCTCTGGGGTTGCTGTTCCAGCACCTGGTTTTCTGCCTACCTGCCTATGTCGTAAATGTAGGGGCAAGTGGTTTGTCTGTGAGCAGTTTTTCTGACGGATCTGAGCTACTGCTTTTTGGTTTCTTGAACCTTTCTCTTGTGTTAATGAGATCTTCCATGTCACACCGGAAACGGACACAGTGAGTTTTTCATAGCTGTTCTTTGGTTCATTGATGAAGAGACCTCATTCTTGCACATCATAAACACTGCTTTTTGTTAACAAAACTGGCTTCCCTGTGCTCTCCTGACATAGCTGCCTTGCTTTACTCGGCTTGAAAAACTCAGCTGGAACACTTAGCGGAAGTGATATGTAACACAGACCTGTGACATAAAGGGGTTCATTTAGAAAGGGTCTCCAGAAAGCTCACAGGAGGTGCGTGTGATGGAAAAGCTTGTGGGTTTCACAGTGTTGTATTTGTCAAGCCTTCTGAAGATCTCTCCTATAGATTTACCGTCTCTTCAGCCTTCTCCAAGGCTTCTGTCCTCACCCACGTTCATCGTGGTTGGGTCAGTCAATCCCTTTCGGGCTTGTTTGTCATCTGTGTCATCATTTCTTGTGACCAACCGTTTCCCAAGCAAGCCAGCAGTGAAAACCTGAGAGATGAGGTAAACTCATCGCAAGGACCAAAACTGCACTGTATCTGCTTTGGTGCAGCTCTTACTGAGCAAATTTTAAATCAGTAGACTTTCCCATTGCTTCAGTATATATGTGCAGTATAATTTCATGCCAGATTCTTGCTGAAGTAACATTTACGCAAAAGGGGAGGCGTGGCTATCTTTCTGCTGAGCATACCAAAGATTTCCATCAAGTATGATTCCTCATCAACCAGTGCAAATGACAATTGCCACCTTGTAGTATATACGTGTAGTATATACGTGGATGAGTGCATGAAATCAAAATGAAATGGCCTTATTCTAAAGGAATGCAATTGTGGGTAATACATAGTATGACAGATACCTTTTGGACAGTGATTTTTTTCAAACTGGGATATATGTATCCGGACCACCGAGAGGGCAGGTTAAATTGCTGGGCACACCATTTAGGGTCTCTAAGATAAGGCAGAAAGTCTAGGTTTCCCAAGCAGCTGGACTTAGAGGTCGCGAGACAGCATTTTGAGCAGCTCCGATTCTGTCCTTATCAGAAAAGGCTCCTCAGTAAATATCTGAAAACTATTCTTTGGTTTTGGGAAAGTTTCTGGATTTTCCACGGATGGCATTTAATTCACAAAGCATTGTTCCTAACACGGCAAAATCTTGGACGACATTAAAGGCACATTTCAACTAGGAGGCTTTGAGTCACAGGAGCCGCCACTTGGTCAACCGCGATGTTGACTAAGTGACATGCAATTCTCTCTCTCTGGGTCCTCCATTTTCCATGGGACAGTGAAGGACACAGCATTGACCACTCATGTTTGAAAAGAAAGCACCCTGAGTGTCCGTCTAAGAAAGGAAACTCTTTGCCGGGCATTCACTGGTGATGGGGCAAAACTTTGCCCTGTCGAGTCAATTATTCCTTCAGAAAGAAGTGAACCCTTCTTGGGGCTGGTTTTTAGAAACCCCACAGATACTGGGCTAAACATGGCAGTCAAATGCAAAGTATGAACCCAGGTAAGACTGTAGCTAGCTAACGGCTAATGCAAGGGAGGTGTGAGACAGCTGAGAAAATGTAACTAGAGCTTTGTGAATTAGATGGAAGGAAATGGCCGTTCATTCCATTGGGCAGTCAGCTGGTGGTTGGCCGGGAGATGTCTTTCTGTTTAGACTGTTGAAACATAATGGGATAAAGTGTTCGGATGACTGCCACTGATGTCCCATGGTTTAGGTAGGAATGGGGGCAGGACACAATTGGAAGTGTCATCCGATCCCAGTGGCAGGGGCTAATGTTGGAGTGTTGATTGATCCAGTTTTGTACTTGGCTACTCCGGCTGGCTTTGAGAATGAAAAGATAGAATTAGGGAGTTTTCTACAGGGGTACCTCAAAAAAAAAAAAAGACACAGGAAGAAATGACTAATGTGTAAAAATTTCTGAAAGCAAAGTGTAGTTTTGTGTGAGTGTTATCCACGAATGTTGCTCTGGCTCCCTCATCTTTTTTGTTTTCCTTTTTCGGCAATGCATTCACAGAACGTAAGGCACCGTGAGGTTGAGCAGTGGCTACCTGTGGCCCGGTCCACAGTCACATGTGGACTATTCCATGACACTGGCTGCCTCTTTGTCCCATCTAAGTGTTCTATGGCGAGAGCCTGCCCAGCGCTCTGCGGGCAGCTGTCCCCTTGAGCCTTCAAAGGGTACAAGTGTCCAGCTGAAGTCTTCTGTGCTAGGAAAGCAGCCATATCAGGGCCTTTGAAATTACTGGAATTTTATTTGCCTCAGCCTTAGGACTTGCAACCAAAGACATTGTGCAAAGAAAGCAAAGTTAAGTACACTTGAGGGGGGGGTGGGGTGGGGAGGAGACAGAACGCATTGGCGACAGAGGAGAACGGGCTGACAAAAGAAGGCATCCAGGACACTAGATTGCAATATTCAATAGCGTTTTCAACCAAAAAAGTTTTTTTTGTTTTCAATCCAAAGCAAAAAAAAAAAAAAGGCGATGTTTACAATAGACATAAATCTTATACAATTGAAAAAGCATTTCTTTTCAGATTGTACAGCATAAAATGGAAAAAATGTTTATGTAGGTGAAGTCTATTATACATTTCTCACCTATTCAAGTTGCTTATATGTACCACAGTGTAAAAAAAAAAAAAAAAAAAAAAAAGGAACAAATAAAAACTTTGAAAATTGCCTGATCGGAAATAACCAGTGGCTTTTAATGGCTTCTCCTGGTTATCAGCGTTACAAAAGACCAAAAAAAAAAAATCTTTTTATCTGAACAGGTGATAAAACCAGGCACAATCCAACTGTTAGCAAATTAGACGCACCCATAGAAATATACTATCCACCCACATTTTCCATCAAAAGTTTGTTTTTTTTTTCCTTTCTTTGTCATCTTTGAATCTTTGAGGCCCATTTGGTCACCATATGTTACAAATGTTTGCACGTGTGTTTTTACACCATGATAGCATACGTTTGTCTGACACTATTCTACAGCTAGTTTATAGACGATGATGGTACAACCCAGGAACCTGTACAACAAACAGGCTCGCTGGGCAGAAGGGGCGACGGGGCGGGGAGGGAGTCAGGTTTACCGAGGAGGATGGCGGGGGTCAGAAAAGGTCCATAGGGTTCATTCATCATCTGTCCCACTCGCTTCCGACTGTTCCTAGGAGTTAAAATAAGAGGAAGTGAGCTATAATCACAGGAATGTAAAATAATAAAAAAACCAAATATGCATTAATATGTCCTGCACAGGCAAAGGAGAGAAACTGCCTAGGCCTCCAGTCTTTCTGTAGGCATATGGAGCACGCACGAGTGGTGCTAACAAGCTTTAGGCCTCCAGGAGTTGGTAACTAAACACCCTGGTGCCATCCTCACCGCTGTCTTGAGTGTTTGAGACCATTCAGTGTGGCTTTAAATAATATCTATTTGGAATCCTATGTTTTGGATGATTCGGGAGGGACGAGATCACGCTTTCGGCGGCTGCTGCCACTGCTAGGTGGGCTAAAGACCGAGGACTCTTTAAATGTATCTTGAAAATAATTGCGCCAAGTGGTTAAGGCTGGGCATGGTGACTGGGAAAGTGGAAAGAAAGGACCCGGCTGGCTGAAATGGCACAGTGCTAGACTTTTCTGCCAGCTGTTAGAGACTGTTGTGTGGCGCAAGCTTGGGTTAGAGAACAAGCTTGGCTTCGTCTTGTTATAGATGACCTGCGGTGTAGCAGCTGGGTGTTGGTGTGTGTGTGTGGAGCGTGCCATCTCAAGATGCCAGGGGGTACAGGAAGGTAGCTGTCTCAAGACCCGTACCCCTCCATCACTGGCACCTCAAGGTAGCCACTCGGGGTCCAAACTCTGGTATCGGGACACTTTGTTCTCATTCTTCCCTTAGCTGTAGTTGTATCTGAGAACACCACGCCAGGCAATGACGTGTGTGAAACAGTCATTGGTTAATTTCTAAGCAGGCGTGTGGGAAGATGAAACGCTACTGAATCAAGTCCCTTACCTCCCCCACTCCTTTTTAAAGAACATTTCTCCAGAGTATTAAATGCAAGACACAAAGCCCCCAGTTGTTTGTGCCTTATGCGACCAGAGACAAGATCTAGCACAGATGGGGAGGTTGTGACCCGGAAGCACTTACGTTGTCATCCAGCTCCTCATCGCTGTCGAAGTCGCTCACGACAGGTTTGGCTTTGCCTCGATTTGGCCTTTTCTTCGCTTTGCCTTTGTCTCGGCTTTTCTCATCTTTTTTGTTGAGCTTGATTTTCACCTTCACCGATTTGGCTAGGCAAAAACAAACGAAACCAAAACCATGAGAAATTGTCAGCCTAGGTAGAGAAAGATGGGCAGCCCACAGGTGATGGCCCTGATGTTCTGGGGTGCCCAGGAAAAGTGGCCGTCCCACCTCGATGTTCCTGGCCTGTTCTTAAGCTTGCTCCCCCCCCCATTTAGATAGTGTCACCAGACATAAGCCACAGGAGGGGGACATAGCCTCAGATGGGGTGGGGCAGGTGGACCCTTTTGCTGTCTCCTGATGTGAGACAGAACTAGGATGTCTTTCCTACTCCAAGGGATGTGTGCAGGACTTGCGGAAATGGCAGGAAAAAGCCAGATATGTCGCTGAGTGCTCCAGTTGACATCAGCAGTAAGAAAATTCATAGTCGAGCTTAAATACTGAGAAAGCAACTTGAAACCCTTCTCTTCTTCCCTCATGGCTAAGCTCTCTACCTCCACTTCTCTTTAGGGTGATAAAGAAAAATTAAAAAAAAATTTTTTTACGGAGGGAGAAACCTGTGTGAGGCAGGAGCTTCCAAAGTTCATAGAACATGGAATTGTGGGATGTTCATGTGGGTTGTAGAATTCTGCCCGGCTTTCAAAACTAAAGATAACCTGAGCTGGGCCCAATGTGATAGCCTAGCAGCTAAGGTCCTCGCTTTACTCACGCTGGGATCCTACACGGGTGCTGGTTGTAATCCCAGTGGCCCCGCTTTCCATCCAGCTCCCTGCTTGTGGCCTGGGAAAGGCCAAAGCCTTGGGACCCTGCACCTGCATGGGAGACCAGGACGAGCTTCTGTGCTCCTGGCTTCGGATTGGCTCATTCCAAACAGTGTAGGGCAGAATGTTATGTGGATGAAAAAGAATGTATTGTGGTACGAAATAGTTTGGAAAGTGTGATGAAATAAACATGCTTTTAAGGTAATTTCCCTTGTCGATAACAGGGAGGGAATCCTAGTTGTAGGGTACTTTTTGTTTGTGCTTCTAATACAGAAAGATACATCTTTACAGAATTGCAAAGAGCTTGCATGTGCTGGTTTGGTCCCCACAAATGGCTGGAGCTGGGCCAGTCTGAAGGCAGCAGCTTCCTCTGGGTCTACAGTGTCGGGGGTGCACGGGCTCCAAGATGGGGGTTATCTGCTGCTCCTTCCTGGCCATCAGCAGAAGGGAGCTGGGTTGGAAGTGGAGCAGTTGGGCCTGGGACCAGTACTGCAGTGGGTGGCTTAAGGCATTATGCTGGGCCCTCAGCAGGAGTCTGAGTGGAAAAATGATAGACTGTGGGGACCAGCCTGGTGGCATAGGGGCTTCAGTTGCTACTGAGCTCCCTGCTGCTGGAGGTACCGTGGCTTTGCACCTGTCCCCATGTGAGAGACGAGGAAGAAGTTTTTGGCTCACAGCTTTGGACAGGCCCAGCTCTGGCTGTAGTGGCCATGTGGAGAGTGAATCAGCAGACGGAACATTCTCTGTGTGATTCTGACGTTGAAGTGCAACAAAGAAAGGTGAAAACACAGACAAAAGTTTTAGACTGCTGTTGTCAAATAACTTAGGGACCCTGGCCATGTGGTTCTTCATGCATGGAAATGCAAGCAAAGAAAAGAGCGGTGCCAATCTATATTCTGGTGTAGGGGAAGGCCGCTGCTTTTCCACCGACCCAAACAGAATAGATTCTCGTTAGAAAATATTCCTCCCGCTGTTTTGTTTTTTGTTTTTTTTGGTGGGGGGGGGGGCGGGCGAGGAGTCCCATAGAGATGGCAAGAAGCCTTCCCATGCATGGGGGTGCATCAAGAGGCAGGGCCTCTAAAACGGAAGCTGGTGCCAGCAGCCAGTTCCTCTGCTAACATAGCGCTCTGTGCACATGGAGCTCTTTCTGCGGTAGCAGTGAGGGGAAATGCATGAACAGCAAAAGGTGGAGACAAAGATGCAAGGAAGATGCAGCCCCTCCATTATCCCCTAAACATGGCCAGGAGGTAAGACGACCTAGAGCCATGCAGCTTGTGTGGGGAGCTGGAACCCATGTGCCAATCCGTGAGCCCTAAAACCGGCTTTCGTTTAGATCGTTGAAATGTTCTTTGCATCCAACTTTGGTGGTGGTTGTTATTGTCTTCCAGGAACCTGTTCTGAAGTACCTTGGTGCGTACGACTATAGCTTGTTGTGGAAAGACGGCAAAGTGTTCATTCATCTGGAGATGGTCTGAGTAAGTAGAAAACTTGAGACTACCAAACTTTTTTGTGCAGAGCGAAACAGGCATTTTGTCCCCATGTGAAATATATATTGGGTTGTGGGAGGACATGGTGACCCTGGAAGGTCAGGGAGCAAAGGATTTTGCAGTTCATTGGAGAGTATTTGCATCATGAGAACAACCAAGTGGCTGCCTTTTGTATCCCTGATGGGAGATGGTTGGCATGGGAACAGTTGAGTAAACAGTATGTAAGTGAGAATTCCTGGTGGAATATACAAAAGAAAGGAATTGCAATCAAGAGTATGGACACAGTTGATGGCTTTTGTGGATGAGCTCAACACTTCGTCCCTGATCCCATATGGACTCCCAGTGTATCAACTCCTAATAAACTTTGGTTAGGGTCTACGTGTGTTATTATCGGCTCCGTGCACCAAGTCCATCGCTGTGGGACAGCGACACTGGGTAATAGAAATACTTTTTTTTTTTTTTGATTAAAAAGATTGGCTTGAAGTCGTGTGGAGTATATAATTAGAAATCTGATTTTTGTTTTTTTTTTTCCTTTCAAAAGCAAGTCTGGACTGTTTCCGAAGCAGACTGCAATGAATGGAATTTCCTGGGCGGTTTTGGGGTAAAAATGTGATTAGACAGGAATTTGAGACTTGGAAAAGCAGCCTTAACTTATCAACGTAGCTGGCACCAGGGTGACAGAATGGAGGCGCGCCGTAGGGCTCAGGTCTTCGGGGCCACATCATGTTGTAATAATGCAATATGCAGAGAATTTTAATGTATAATGGATCTCATTGTGGGAGGAGGGCTGGAACGCAGCAGTGGGTTAACACGGTGGGAGCTTTCCTGGGTTGAGAGCCACTGCGCTGATACCCATAGCCGCATACCTGCAGGTGCTATTAACACCAGTAGGGCATGTCAGGGCCAGACTGCTCTCCGGGATCACAGCCTAAGCTGTTGCCATTGTTGCTCTTGATGTTGCATTGATGTTCTTGGTAGTTGTATCTTACAGGTGAGCAGCTGGGCGCAGCCCAGGGTGGCTGAGCCAGGAGGAGTGAGAAGCATGTGCAAGGGGCTCACCTTCCGACTCCGACTCCTCCTCTTCCTCCTCTTCCTCCTCTTCATTGCTCTCCTCCTCGCTCTCCTCCTCTTTGGCAATTTTCTGCCGAGCGCTCTTAAACACGGACTGTAAGACGATGGAGTCTTCATAGATCTGAGGGATCAAGTAGCACCTGTGAGACCTCGAGGGTTAAGTCACCACAACAGTGTGCCCCACACAGTGTGATGTGATGGGAATTTCAGCTGCCACACCTTCCTGGACAGGCAAAGAAGAAAGTACTAAACCCGTTAGGATGGGACCCAAGTCCCAAGCATGTTAAAAGGGTGTTGTGTGCTGGGGCACTGAGGGCGGATAACAAGTTTTCATGTGTGTGGACCAAAAGCAATGCCTCTAAAGAGAACGCACAGATCCTGCAGCTGGCTGTTGAGGCTGGGCAGTTAAAAGCTATCTTGGTCTGACCTTGCAGTATGCCAGGTTTGATTCCCAGCTTGCCTGTCTCAAGGAGGAGCTTGGGAAACGGCAAGAGACAGTCCAGGGATTGAGCTCCTTGTGACAGACCTCAGGCGTAGCCTTGGTATCTGCAGGAATGAGGGAATTGGCTCTGCTTCTCAGACAGACACACCGGTAAAACAAATCCAAATACATTTCTCAATTTGAATTGTTTGAAAAACTTATACCACAGTGAAGTAACTTGCTTTACGTTGTGTTAGCACTGAGAACCTGGTCTCCATTGTGCAGTGCACAGGTACCAGGCAGGGAGCCTACAAGTGCACATAGCATCTGTAGGAAAAGAGTGGGAAAAGGTTTGCATTGTAGGCCTTAAAACAACACGGGTCTAGGCGTCTGTGATGTCACCTCTGCTACGAGGACAAGGAGAAGGATTCCAGCACTGGATTACCGGCAAAATAAAGGAGTCTCCCCCTGTTGTTACAAAGGGAGGGTAGAGGGTAGAGGGTAGAGGGTAGAGGGTAGAGGGTAGAGGGTAGAGGGTAGAGGGTAGAGGGTAGAGGGTAGAGGGTAGAGGGTACAAGGGGGGGACCCGACCACGCCCCCCTGCCTGCCCCTCTCCTCTCTGCACCCCCGGGGGGGCTCTTGTTCCCTCCTGCCCAAGAGGGTACAAGGGGGGGACCCGACCACGCCCCCCTGCCTGCCCCTCTCCTCTCTGCACCCCCGGGGGGGCTCTTGTTCCCTCCTGCCCAAGAGGGTACAAGGGGGGGACCCGACCACGCCCCCCTGCCTGCCCCTCTCCTCTCTGCACCCCCGGGGGGGCTCTTGTTCCCTCCTGCCCAAGAGGGTACAAGGGGGGGACCCGACCACGCCCCCCTGCCTGCCCCTCTCCTCTCTGCACCCCCGGGGGGGGCTCTTGTTCCCTCCTGCCCAAGAGGGTACAAGGGGGGGACCCGACCACGCCCCCCTGCCTGCCCCTCTCCTCTCTGCACCCCCGGGGGGGCTCTTGTTCCCTCCTGCCCAAGAGGGTACAAGGGGGGGAGCCGACCACGCCCCCCTGCCTGCCCCTCTCCTCTCTGCACCCCGGGGGGGGGGCTCTTGTTCCCTCATGCCCAAGAGGGTACAAGGGGGGGGAGCCGACCACGCCCCCCTGCCTGCCCCTCTCTCTGCACCCCGGGGGGGGGGCTCTTGTTCCCTCATGCCCAAGAGGGTACAAGGGGGGGGAGCCGACCACGCCCCCCTGCCTGCCCCTCTCCTCTCTGCACCCCGGGGGGGGGGCTCTTGTTCCCTCATGCCCACTCCCCACCCCCCGCAGCCAAAGACAGCTCAACCCTCTCTGAGGGACCTGCAAGAAGCTCCGCGTTGTGGCATTAGGATTGGCTCAGCTGCAGCCGCTGTGGCCACATGGGGATTGAATCAGCGAATAAAACATTTTCCTTTTTGTATATCTAATTTTCCAATAGAGATTTTGAAATAATAAGAGGGTGGTTCCACCGACGTGCAACCACGTAGGGCCTTGGCTAAGACAGCACAAAGCAATCACATGTAAGTGCAGAGTGGGTGGACGGCGCATCCCCAGGATGCCCAAGGTCACCAACGCAATGAGTGGAATTGACGGGTCCTAGGCTAGGTGAAGTACACTTATAGGAATGCACTACTTTACAGGAGCAAAGGCAGGATGCTCCCCAGGGTCTTGGAGGTTTTCCACAGGACACAAACCTTGCGTCCTGCCAGGTGAGATAGTTCTAGCCATCTGTTACCCAATCTGCATGTTCGTTTACACACAAAAAAATGAAGCAGATTCTTCAAACTTTTCACCATGGTTTCAGAAGTTACTTGGCTAAATCCTCACCTTGCAAGTGCCACCATCCCATATGGGTGCCAGTTTGTGTCCCGGCCGCTCCACGTACCATCCAGCTCCCTGCTTGTGGCCCACAGCCTTGGGACCCTGTACATGTGTGGGAGACTGGGAGAAGCTTCTGGGTCCTGGCTGTGTATCAGCTCTGCCCTGGCCACTACGGCCATGTAGGGGGTGAACCAGCAGAAGTTAGATTTTTCTGACAATCTGCCTTTCGAATCAAATGGTCGCTCTGTCAACTCCTTGCCCTAAAGGCACATACTCCTTTTAGAGAAAGATGAACCCCCCCCCCCATTGTCCAATAAGAAACTGGGGAAACCTATAGCTTCTCAAGGGGTCATCTGTGATTGAGACTCCGGGGAAAACGAAGGACCAGGGATGCTGGCATAGAGCGGGACATGAGAGCTGCGGCCACACCAAGGGGAATGTGAAAGAATGCAGCATCTCTGCAGCCGTGGAAGTTCATTACCACTCACGGCGTCTTGGCTGACTCTTCTGTTCCTTCTCTGCCTCACTGTGGCTTTGACGGGGTTCAAGTTCTAGGGCCTTGGCTAAGACAGCACAAAGCAATCACATGTAAGTGCAGAGTGGGTGGACGGCGTATCCCCAAGATGCCCAAGGTCACCAACGCAATGAGTGGAATTGACGGGAAGTCAGGGAGGGTCAGATTAGGGCAGAGGCCGGAGGGAGTTCATGGCACCTAAGCCGTGTGTTCATGGGTGCATGTGCTGAAGACGAGGACCACGCTGGGTCGGCAAGGGGAAGGGCGAGTCCCCGGGACAGCTGAGCAGTCACTGAGATGTCATTAGCGTGAGAGCATCCGCACTCCCGACATTGACATTGATTCAGCGTCATCTGTGCCCTGAGATTGGCTAACAGCAGAGATGGGGAGTCGAAAAAGATGAAAAGCCATTTTTAAAGCAAGCAATGCGAGACTTCCAAAAAATCAGACAGTTTGAACTCCACATACTACAGTAACCCAGCTACAAACCAGAGTCCAAACAAAACACAGACCTCACCTTGGAACACTGGCTTCAATTCCACCCCCTAGTGCCAAGGTAGAGACCTGAGTCGGAGCTCACACAGCTTACGTTACACAGTGAACTGGAAAATGCCAACGCCTCCACGTACACACGTAGGCACGGCAGAAAACAGCACGCTGCTGTACATCTGACTTCTGCCAGCCAAACCGGTCGATCCAAGACCTCCCTGCCCAAGACACAGACCTGAGAGCCCTCCAGGTTGAACGTCTGAGCGTTCTGACACAGCAGCATGACATCTTTCTCCAGGTCGCCCAGGCTCCGGTACTTATGGTTACGGATTCTTTCCTGATAGAGGAACAAGAGGTCAGATTGACTGCATGCCTTAACCGAGCCCAATTTTTACCCCCCCTTGGCCTCCAGACCTTTCAGGGAACCAGCCAGGAGGGGGAGGAGAAACCGTGTGACCCCCAACAGGGCAACCTCCCAGGGACCACGCCCACCCTCCCGCCCGCCCGTCCACCAGTAGGGTGGCAGCACCCGCGATGGGAAACACGGGGCGCTCTTGCATTAGGGCATCCCCTCTTCCGGGTGGCGCGTCTCATGTGTGGGTGCTGGCGTGCTCCGTTGGGATTGTATGGCCATGCTGTGGTTCTAAACTTCTATCCCCTGAGCGTGCACCTGCTCCCTCATCCGCCTGCAAAGCAGGAGTAGGTCCATGAGGTATCTACCTTTATTTTTTTGAAGTCCACTGGTTTCCTAATTAATTCATAGTATTCTGGCAATTCTTTCCTTGAAGGTAATTGGATGAAGACCTCGCTGAGCTGCCGACCGGAGCTGTAAGGTGGGGGAAACGAGCAGTCAGGAGATCAAGTGCCCCCACCCCCCGCCACCACCGCGGGGACGTGGATTATTACACATCAAACGTCAACAAAGCGACTTCCATCCCGGCCATGGAGATGGGGCCGCCTCTATGGGGAAGATCCTCTTGTGGCAACTTTGGCACCTTCATGCCCCTTCTGCCAGCCCCCAATCCAGGCGGGCACCTCTTTTCAGTACAAGTACAGCTGTTCACTGTGATACAAACATTTACAATATTTCTTGGACTTCCATCTTTGCTTGGCAAAACACCAATAGAGTACAAGCGTATACCCTCTTGTCTCCAGACTGTGTCAAAATTAACCCGGGAGACTAGGTGAAAACCTAGGGGGGCGGGAGCGGGGCGGGGGGGGGGGAGAAGGCTGCGTGGGTCCCCACCTGGAGACCACTTTCTCCGATGTCCTCCCTGGAGTGGTTTGCCCACTGCGAGCCATCCCCTCCACCTGTCCCCATCACCGTCTGCCCCAGGAGCTCCTACAGGTCCCTTGACTCGGGACCAGAGAGAACCCCGCCAGGCACTAAGAGGTGGGCTGATTCAGCCCCACGCGTGCAACCCTTTGTCATTTGGTCAAAAGGCAGAGGCGTTTCTCACAGGCGGGGGGCACGGTCTAGACGAACAAAAGATGCGCATCGTCCGGGTCCAAGGTGCCGAGGGGGCCCGCCCAGATCGATAACGGCTTGTGCCGGGCCACTCTGTCGTCATTGGCGCGAGCTGCCAATCTCCGCTTCCCTTTTGTGAAGCCAGAGGCGAAACACCACCCGAGGTTTATCCATCTCTGCCCTGTCCGTGTCAGACAGTGATTCTGGGAGCGTGTGTGACAACGCGAGAAGGTGAACGGCACAACAGGTCCGAGCGACAGTCTGCCGTTTTAATCCACGCTCCCAGTGGTGTAATTAAAAAATAATCATAATGACAGTTATCATAGGAAAAAAAAAAGGCATGCGCAGTAACTCAACCGGTTGCCTAGCAACCAGCAGGGAAAATGCTGAAGTGCATAGGGGACCGGCATAAATTAACCGAAAATCCTTTCTCAGAGGGAGGAGTGTGTCTGCCTTGCCATCCTGGGTCACTGCTTTATTTTTTTTTTCATGCATTTCGGGGCCTCATGAATACGAAAACCATGGCTGAACACAAAAGGCCGAGGAGCACTGTGCTTTATAGGGGGTGGGGATGGCTGGCTTTTGAGACAATTGTGCCCAGTACCAAGGTACCCCCTCCCCCTCCCTGCCACCCCTGCTCCCCCTCCCCCTCCCCAAGACCGATCGATGCAACTGCGCTTCCCGGTGCTAACACAGCAGAGGAGCCCCGTGACAAACACCGTCTGAGTCGCTATCGCTGTCACCCCAGGGCCCCGATTCTGGGTCCAAGGTGTAGTAGGCCCAGTCTGCCTCCCATGGCATCGGAAGGAAGAGGCACCTCTAGAACGGCAAGAAGGGGAAATGACAGGGGGTCATTCCTCCCTCTCGACGGCCCATTTCTTCTCATTGGCAAGGGCTTGCTGACCCCGGTGCCCACCTGGGAGTCAGACCTCATGGTCATCACCTTGACCCTCTGTGACACCAACAGATGGTGGCATTTTTCTGTTGCCAGATTACAAAGCGCTGTACACCTGTCTCACACACACACACACACACACGCACAGTGCCGCTGCTGCTTAAGACAGCTGTGATGGGGCCACGGGAAGGATGTAGCTTGGTCTCAGAGGGGCAAAGGCTTGTCTACGCCTCCTCTCACGTCTCAGTCCTCCGTCAGGCCTGAGGAATGCTCAACCCAGGAAGGGGGCAAGTCCAGACACGGGGTGCCCACCGAGAACAGATCTGCATGTTCCGACACTCGGTGCCAAGGCTGTACCGGGAGGAGAAAGACACACTCGGACTCTGGATCAAAAGCCAAGCCCCACCATGCGGGAGCTTTCCTTTCTGTCACCCACACTGAGAAGGGAGGACAAGCGCGAAGCTGGCCCAGAAAGCCACCTCAGGACAGCACGGGCTGTGTTTCCGAGCCCGCTGGTACGCGCGCACGGTCTCGGCAAACCCGCTCTGCACTGCTGACCGCTGCTCTCCTAAGCACCCCCCTCCCCAACTCCCAACCCTATGCCCCGAACCCCTGCCTCACGCCATGACACCAGGAACTCTCGATTCCACCTTGGGCTCAGACACCCATTCTCTGTGTGAGCAGAGACCATCTCCCTAACATTCCCGATGCTCTGAGGATGTAACCATTTCTCACTTGGTTCTTCTGTAGTCACTGCTCAGCTCTGAGAAGAGGTCAGCTGTTATGGGAGACCCTGGCAGCGTGCAACCCTGGCATAACCTTATCAGATGCTCCATGCACAGGCCACTAGCGTACTGCCACAGGAACTTGCTTTTGCCTACATCACAGGCCAAAAAAAAAAAAGTGGTGATTTTGGCTGCAAGAATGGGGAATGTCTGGTATTTCTTTCTGAAACTTGAGCTCGGCAGGAACGCCTACAACATACCTTTTGAGATAGTTTTCTTTTTGCCAAGGCCAGAACTTTTCCAAAGTATGGCATGTGGTATCATGAGTGTGAGAGCTGAGCCGTTTCTCCTGTTCTGAGGTATCGTCGGGGGTGTCGCTTTGACACACTTTGAGTAGTCCACAGGCCACCTTTCCCGGGACCACAGAGACGGTCAGACCTCCTAAGCCGCACCCGCCATCACTAATCACAGGTGAAGCAGAGTGGATCCCATGACTATCACTTAAAGGAATGCACTAGGCTTGGCACTTGTCAGGTGCGCCAGGCAAGCACCTCACCCCTACGCAGAGGGGGAACGGACAGATGGCCATGAATCCTCACTTTCTCACACACAACTGGGGCTCGGTTTTACACCAAGAGGCAGCATTTTCACCACCGGCCTCCCGTGCCTCTTCACTGCTCAAGCCATTATAGCTCATGACCTTAACCTCCGATGCCATTTCCGGTAGGGTTGGAGGGATGACAGAGTGTCGGGTAAGAAGCTTACTGCTTCGACGCCGCGCTTCGCGGCAGGGGCTGTGGCCTAGGAGGGGTGACCATTCCATAGCATCCTGGCGGAGACACGGTCCCCCCCCTCTGCCTCCGACCCAGCCTCTTGCTGACAGACCTGGGGCGCGGCACAGGACGGCCTCCGTGCTTGTCTCGCTGCCATCCATGCCGAGGGATGGATCCGTGGGGAGCTGTGGTTGGCTGGCATTAGCCTGGTCCCTTTCGGGGCTGTTGTGGCCACCAGAGGAGCATCCCTGAGGATGAAAGGTACCCTCCGTTCTCACTCTGCTTTTCCCACGAGAGAAATGCTTTTTTTCTTCTGTTTCGTCGAAAGCAGGACGATTGAGGCCATGTCATGTTTTTCTTTTCACTAGCCCAAGCTGTTTTAGGACAAGAATCCCTAATATGTATTTCTGGAAAACATACCTTAAACTTTCTATGTTTCTATCCGGAAACCATTCTGAGCTGATCAATTCACTACGGACTCTTATCCACAACCCTGGAGTTATCATCTCCTAGCCCCTTTGCAGGCATAGCAGAGGCGATGGCAAAACGCAGAGGAATGGGTGGGCTGGCTTTGGTCCACGAAAGGGGGAGCCATTCCGAAGAGCTTATTGCACGGAAAAGGCCTCCGTAGCCAGGGGCTGCAGAGGACTCGCCGGGCTCAGCAGGACCACGAGAACAGCACCCAGGGTTTATACAGAGTTCTGAACCTAATCCCACTCTGAGACACAATTCCACTCCTGGTCTACAAGGCCATGCTGGAGAATCACACTTGAACGGTGTTCATCCCGGGATTACGAAAAACGCTTCCCGTGAAAGGTGGTGTCCGAAGCGAGGTGCTTCAGAGGAATGGAAACAAAACGTGCAAGTCGTGACATGAAATGGGGTGACAGGCTCCCCGAAGGGACACAGCAAACAGCAGAACCTCAGCATGTCCACCACCCAGGTACAAACACGACAGAAGCTCTAGAGCCAAAGCATCGAGAACAGCATTCTCTCGTTCACCAACATGAAGAGGTACGATCCAACGCAATTGAAAATCATCGTCTCCATAAACAAAAACAGCCTACAACAAACTCTGATTGGGTGACTTCCATGGAACATACCCTTGATGTCCATTTCATTTAAGGGACCCGTGTCCCCCTGGTGAATTTTACCGTCAACACTGTGCTTTCCCAAGCGGTACCTTTCCATTCTCTTGCACATGCAATTACACAACGATTGTATTTCCCATCGCAACCACCACAATCTACCTTGACAAAGGTGTCGAGCATATCCTCACTGCCTTCATTGCCACGACTCGTAGGGGCTCCGGAGCGGGACCTAAGACCCGACAGAGTGCTGTGTGCAGGCCAGCGTTCTAGCATCTTTCAGACGGTACTTGAGTTTTTACAAGTACTGACTCGGGGAAGTAGCGTGTTCTACTTTTATGCCGCTTGCCCTTGGGTCCAGGTGCAGCAAGCCAAACCACCTGCCGCTTCCCTGGGCCGCCCATCCATCAGCTTCCACCGTCTCATCTCTGCACCTGCTCACTGACTCAGAGAAGCCTCTCCTTTCAAGATGAAGGAACTGACCTTCCCTCCCTTGCGATACGCCGCCCCTGAACGCCTGTCCCACGTCTGCCCTTCTTCATGGTGCCAACGCTTCACAGGTCTCCCCTGATTTAGGACCGCACTCCAGAGCACAAAGTTTCTGCAAACGGTGCTTCTCTATCTGCGCCCACGTTGAGCACGATGCTCGCTTACTGGGGTGCTAGAGTGGGTGGCAGGCACTGGGGTGCCGCCTCAGCCTGCAAAGGCTGCTCGAGTTCCTTAAGCAACACGCACGATCCGCAGGAAAGGGCGTTTCCCAGGGACATACCCAGATAACTCCTTGCTTTCTGAGAAATCTATTTTTGCTCAAGACATCCATAGAGTCACTTTGAAAACACTTTCACAAGAGAGAGAAACAAAAATGTATTTTATGGGGCTAGCCTGTAATGCCAGCATCCCATAGGAATATGGGTTCAAGTCCAGGCTGCTCCACTTTGGAGCCAGCTCCCCGCTCATAGCCAGAGAAAAGAGCGGGAAAAGATGACCTAAGCACTTTGGCCTCTGCCATCCGTGCGGGAGATCACACAAAGCTCCTGCCTTAGACCTGGCCCAGCCCTGGGCATTGCAGCCATCTGGGGAGTGAACCAACCAAAAGTCTTTCCCTCAGAGTAGGAGCCCCTGGAGTTTCACAGGCAGAGACCACGGGAAGGATGCTGGAGGCCAGGCCGATATCAGAAGCTAGAGAAAGATGGCTGTGTTTCCAAAAGCAGACCGGGAAGTTCATGTGTGGCCTGAGCACCTGCTGTATATTGGTAACGCTTGACTTACGGGCCAAGTTTGCAAGAGTCAAGGTGACCTAGTGTAGTCACCACTGAAAGTATCAATATGAGGGCAAATTCAATCCCTGGGATCCACCTTCCCCTGAGCAGACTCCCCTCTGGCCTCAACACATGATCATCTGTTCTACTTTCGCCTTTCCCAAACTGTGCGCCACAAAATATTCCCTTAGTGGGTTATTAAGTGTTCTCTGAAAGGGGCGGTGTTGTGGGATGAGCTATTGAAACACCGCGTCCCGGAGTCTCTGAGCAGGAGGCAGCGACCACTCGGGAAGAAGGCCCCATCCCATCAACGCACAGGGTGGGGAACTCCCAACTCTGCATCCTATACACTGGCCCCTCTGGCCGTGACCCAGACAACGACCCAAAGTCGGCCCTGTACCTACTGCTAACATTTCCTGGCAGTGCATCCGCGGGGCCACGCGTCTTCTGTCGGGCAACACTGCTCTCCAAGCTAACGCTAGTCTCCTAACTTTGAGAACCATGCCGGCTGCCTCGCTCCCCCGCTCGGAGAAATCGTAGAATACCTGGTGCCGAACACGTTGGCAAGAAACCCCGGGGTGGTGGAAATCAATGGCATCCCGGCATCAGAGGGGTTCGGGGTGAAATGGCCACGGAGAACAAGACTTGGGCGTTCTGTGCTGGAATGCACGGGAGCTGGGCTATTGTACCAGTGCTGGCGGGTGGCCAGCCCCCCCACACGTACCACACCTTTCCTTTCGGCATCACCGTAGCTGGCACCACCACCCTTCCCTTTCCACTTAGGGCAGAGGTGCGAGACAAACAGCCCTGAGCCTTCCCCCTCTCCCTCTGCCCCTCCCACCCGGGCTGCTCCATGTCTTAGCACACCTCGAGGTGGGGATTCCTACTCACTGTCATAAATCCATTTTAATGGCTCTCTCTCCCGGCCGTCTCACAGCCCTCCCCACTGACGGAGGCCTCCTTGGCTCGTCAGCCATCACCACGGTCTCAGAGCCCTCCGTCTCCGGCCAAGATTATCTGGCCGTATCACCGTGGCCCTATCATTTCTTCACTTATTCCCACTGATTTGCCTGTTGGGGTTTCCTGGGCATGCCTCTCCTTCTCGCTTGCTTCCTCTCTGCCCCCGGTGATGGACAGGACATACACCACTGCACTGGCTTGCCCGGTGTCCTTCACAGTCAACGCCACCAGCTCGAGAATGCTGCCCCCAAAGGGCCCCGTCCAAGCAGCTAATACCAAAATTCCTCAGCTTAGGGTGCAGGGGCCTCCCCCTTTCCTGGACCACCTATGTGCACGGACATGGGCGTAGGCACTAGAGGGAGCCTGCTCTCTCTAACTCCCACGGCTGCTCATGCATTCCACCGAACACTGTTGCCTTATTTCACGCCCGCTTCCCCTCGCCAGAGTCGCCTCAGCAAGTTCCTCCACAACCTACCCTGGAACACACAGCTGCTCCGTGCCACGTACTTGTCTCACCCACTTCTGTGCTGCTTTCCAGCTCCGCTTGCAGGTGCCCCATTGTATACATCGCCTGTACATGTGATGCTCACGCAAGGATGGACAGGGACATTGCCCAGTGCTTGCGAGCACAGAAGGGTTAGTTCAGCCAGACGCCGCCTGCCAGCTCCACAGTGTCAGCTCAGGCTTAGCGGGACGGGAAGCACGTGGAGGGATGGCGGAGTCTCCATGAGACGCACAAAGCCCCGTGGAGGCAAACGCCCAAGCTCCTTGCTATGCCTCAGGATGTGGCGATGGAAAGGCGGCCTCCGGGAAGCACTCCTTTCGCTAGGTCCTCACCACAGCCGTATCATCTCCCCCTCAGAAAGCGCAGGCGTGATGTCATGACTTGGAGTACCCTTTTACAGTCATTCATCCTCCTTCCAGGCTTGCTATCACCACTTGGGAGTGGGGATGAGGAAGTGGGGAAGAGGAGGATGGGGAATGGGTGGGGGAGATGGAGGTGGGGAGGAGGCGAGAAGTGTGGAGCTGGGGAGGCAGCAGAAAGTGGGGTTCTAGAAGGGGGACCAGGAGGAGAAGATGGGAGGGGAGCAGAAGAGAGGAGGAGCGTGATGGGGAAGGGAGGAGAAGGGTGATGGGAAGGAGGGGGAGCAGAGGGAGGAGGAAGGGGAGGAGGAGGAACCAGAGGGAAGAGTCTCCTCCCCGCCGTGGGGAGGATGTTGGATGAAAAGCAAATCACGGGCCTCTCCAGTTGTTAAGTCTGTTAGCCCTATCTTCAGACTAGAGAAGGTCTCCCCAAGAGGCCACTGAACTTATCTGGACAAAAAGACGCTGGACTTTATGCTAGATATGTGTTTGCAAGGAATGAATCTCAACTGAACTTGAACTGTGGTTATGCATCAAGGTGGAGGAATCCACCATGGGAGGAGGGGTATGGGGGGGTGGGGGGAATCCCCAGTACCTATAAAACTGTATCACATAATACAATGCTAACAACAATAAAAAAAATTAAAAAAACAAACAAACACACACACACACACACAAAAGACAATTGTAGTCTCAAAGTCCAAATTCAAGTCCAGACTTGCGTTCTTTCCCACAATGGCCAAAGCAACAACAACAACAACAACAAACGCCAGGATGCAACTCTGGCAGTCTCTCTCAGGGGATGCTCTGGTCCGCGTGTGTCTGGTTTCAGGGCTCACTCAGCGTTTACTGAACAGCAGTAACCACCGTGACGCGGCAACAGGCTGCCCCGGCCAGCTGTTCCCACCCCACACAGGGGCGGAGCGCACGTTCTCCACACGGCAACTGCTTACACGACACGGAAGGCCACTGCGAGTGACCAGTACTCAGAGGCAGGACACTACCTCAGTTCTTTGTCGCCCTGACTGCGACCTTCACCTACGGGGAGACAATGACTAGTCAAGATGGGGTTGCGTTGGCTGCCAACACTGGAATACCGGCAAAATACAGGAGTCTACCCGCATTTTTACAAAGGGCCCAGGAGATGGTTAGGTAGAAAGAAATGTTGTTTTCTGTATGTGGGTGAAACCTCCCGAGCCCTCCGTATCACCCACATCCCTGTCTCCCCGTGCCAGGGACAGAAGCATTTCAGCTTTGCCCTGCATGGAAGCAATGGCACACTGAGGTTCAACAGACCGGCTTAGCACACACAAGATCATTTGCAGCCAGGAGGCCGCACGGTCACGCCCCAAAACCTCATCCAGTGTGCCACTGGGAAGTTAACCGCCCCTTGCACGCCACCGCCCGGCTTGAGAACGCAGAGCCGGCATGAACACACGTCCTGCAGGAGACGGAACCCCCCAGGCTCCAGGCACTCAGTTCACAAGCCAAGGCAGCCGAGAGGACACAAAACACAAAGCGTGCTGAAGGGAGAGGGGCCGGAGCCTGTCTTCAGGGAGGGTGGGCTTCCGGTGTGAGAGGGGGCGCTGCTGACACCTGTGACACCCCCAGATAAAACCTCAGTGCCGATGGCCTGCAAAGCCATGACAGGTGTGGCGCCCAGGTAGCCCGCTGCAGGTTACCAGTGGGGGGAGAGAGGGCCCCTAGAGAGAGATCCGCTTTGCAAAGGCTTGAGCCCACAAAACAGGCTGTTTCGTGCGCCGAGAGATACCTGCATTTAGAGGCATGGGATTGTAAGACAGATCCTGACCTGCTTCCTTCTATTTCCAACTGAAAATTACCGGGCACCTTCTCCGCGTTACACCTGCGGCAGAGTAGAAAGAACATCAGTGTCAGAAAGTCAGGCTCCTGGGTCCCAGCCCAGTTCCGCCTCCTCCTCTGGCTAGAGCGACCCAGGGGAGTGTCCATTCCCTCCTCCAAGCCTTAGTCCCCCCCGCTCGTCATCAGCAAGAAAGATCACATTGGGGTGCAATGGAACCTCGCTTGGAATAGAGAAGACAGAGTTCCCCTTGCTCCTCCCCACAAAATGCAGCTTCTCTCACAGACATGCAAACACCTCTTTCTAAAGAGTCCTGTGTCCATCTACCTTGCAGAGGCTGCAGAGAATAGAGTAGCAGCTACTTCCTTGGCTGGTGTGAGTGTGGGGCAGGGGGTAGGGGGATGGAGGAGAGGTACATGGGCTCCTGTTGCAAAGGGGACAGAATTTATCTCGGGGAGCCGTGGGGTCCGTGGCTTTGGTGCAAGCCTCTGAACATCATGTAGTCAATCCCATTTCCCAGATCTATTTATTATTTTTATTATTATTATTTTGTTTTTGCACAGTAGAGTGCAAAAATTAATGACCTTCAACTGGAAATGGAGAGAAAACACCACCTGGGGTGTCTGGCCTTTCTATACTTCTCCAGCTAAGGATCAGCTTCTCCAGCTGAGGACTTCTGGCAGGGAGGGAGAGAGAGAGAGAAAGAAAGAGAGAGAGAGAGTGTGTGTGTGTGTGTGTGTGTGTGTGTGTGTGTTTTCCAGGGGAGCAGCTGCACGGTAGCTGACTACACCTGGGGAAAACCTTCATCCCGTCCCCTTCTTTTCTAGGTGAAGATGGCGCCCTGCAGCCTGCACAGCCCACGCTCGGCCACTTAGCGGCAAACCCGTCCTAGGAGTGGATGACCCACGCATGCTCACGTGGCAGAAGGCACTCAGAAAGACCAGCACAAACCCGCAAGAGGAGACGTGGAGGGGTGAAAGGACATTTCAGAAAGTTCATGAAAACCCAGGTATTAAAAAAAAAATCCGAGGACCACTGCAGTAGCCTAGTGGCTAAGTTCCTCGCCTTGCACACACCAGGATCCCATATGGACGCCGGTTCTATTCCCAGCAAGCACTGGGGTTTTACATGGAAGCTAGTTTGTGTCCCAGCTACCCCACTTCCCATCCAGCTCCCTGCCTGTGGCCTGGGAAAACAGTCAAGGATGGCCCAAAGCCTTGGGACCCTGCACCCACTTGGGAGACCCAGAAGAGGCTCCTGGCTTTGCATTGGCTCAGCTCCGGCCGTTGCGCTCACTTGGGGAGTGAATCAACAGATGGAAGATCTTTCTCTCTGCCTCTCCTCCTCTCTGTATACAATACAATAAACCTTAAAGAAAAAAGATTGGCTTCCTTGTGAGACTTTGTAATAATAATAAAAAAAAGTTGGTGTGAATTTCTCCCGCCATAGTGGGCTCTGGGGAACACAAGGTCCTGATGGCCACGTGGCAGCCCCGGGATGAGATGGTGCCTCCCAGCTTTAGCCTGCCTCAGCCCCAGCTCTTTATAACTACTTGGGGGACTGAATCAGAGGAAGGAAAATCTCTTTGTCTCTGTTTTTCAGACAAATAAGCAATGTTGAATAAGGCTGTGCACGGCCAGTGTCATGCTGCTGTCTAAGATACAGACATTCCAAAGGAATGCCGGTTCGAGTCCCACCTGCTCCAGTTCTGAGCCACCTCCCTGCCGATGTGCTGGGAGAGCAGTCAAAGACGGCCTGAGTGCTCGGGCCCCCGATGTATGTGTGCGAGACCCAGAAGGAGTTCCAGGTGGCTCCTCTGGCCTTGTCCAAAGCTCCAGCAGCCGTAGCCATGTGGGGAGTGACCCAGGGCACAGATGATGTCTCTGTCTGTCCCTTTCCGTAAGTCTGCTTTCAAAATATTTAGCTAAATCTTTGAAAAAACATGCATCCATGGCATTAAGAAACATTTTTGCACCCCAACAAAGCTATCCTTCAATTCTCTTCTCCATGAATTTTCACAGATGCCCCCTCTTCCCTACACGCTGGATTCGGTGCGATATCTGACATGTGCAAGCAAGCTGGGCAAACCAAGATGGAGGCCTGCTGGGTTGGCACTGTACGAGGCTCTTACGGTGACAGCTCGGAGTGTCACTTAGGAGGCCACGGGAAGCCCCTGCGAGTTCCCAAGTAGCGGGATAACCTGATCAGACCCTTACTTCAGAAGGGATGCAGGGAGATGCCCAGATCAGAGGCTGGCCGTGCAGTGGAACAGGTGGCACCTGTCCTGAGCCAGGCTCATAGCGGGAGGGCTGCATGAAGACCCACACGTGAGGTGGCAGACAACACTCTGCATCGGAAGTGCGCGTCACAAATGAGGCACACCCCTAGCATCGCTCTCCCCGTTTCCCAGCTGGGACCTCAGGACACAGGGATGCCATGACAGTCCATTGGGACTCCTCAGGATGTGTGATGGAGAACCAAGCAGGATCCTGGGGGCCATTTCACAGAACACACAGTCAATAACTGAGAGACAGACGGACAGAGACCTGGCTATCCAGCCTCATAACAACACAGTCAGAACAGGATCTGGCAGAGAAACATCACTTCCTTAGGATAAGGATTGGTGGGGTTGGGGGGCAGGGAGGAGAGGAGAAAGGCTGGAAAAAAAAACACACACACACAAACCAAAAAACAATAAAAACGGTACAAGGGAATAATGTTGGGTGCGATTTCATAGGTGTGTGTGTGTCAGATGACAAGAGGCTGAGGGTTACCGACATCCCTGGGGATGCATTAGAGAGAGCAGCAAGAACTGAGGAAAGCACGGAGGCATCCAGCCACGTGCCCTGTGTCCCACAGTCCAGGCAGGATCTGTGTGCCTGTGCCTTCCCACTCATCCAAACTGGACCTGCCATCTTGGTCCTTTGCAGGTGGCCAGGTTAGGTCCCACACACTACTTTCCAACAGTGCCCCCTCAGAGAACGGGGAGGCGAAGACGCTTGACTCCTATTCTGTCTTCAGACACTGCACACGAGGAGGAATGAAGAGTTTGGAAAGGCAAGGTTGGTGGTGGGGGGCGACGCTGAACAAAAGCTCCCGGTAGGAGAGCCGATAGACAAGAGTGGTGATGGAGCCACGTCAAGCGATTTCAAGCGTCCACTTGCAAGCTAATTTCACCCTGAAACAGCCTGCCGACTCCTTCTGCTAATCATGTTTAGGAAATCACTAAGATCAGAAAATGGAAATCAGAAGGCTGGAGATAACCGCCATGTCCCCACCCCATCACCCCTGGCTCCCCATCTCAAAACCACAAGGGCAACCTTGAGACGGTTCTGTCTGATGCTGACCGTCCCCAACCCACTCTGGTAAAAACTTAGAAAAAAAAATGTATTCAGATGCCATGGGGACTATCTAGAAAAAGATAAATAACATCATTAAGCCCCAGCGGGAGGTCTCTTACAAAGAGCTACAGCAAGCTAACCCCATTTCACTTTGGTGGCGGGGATTTTCGAGGCTGATAGATGGGAAGGGCTAGAGACGTGGCGGGCCTGGGTTTGCGCCTCTGCTGATAACCTTGAGGAAGGATAGATAAATGTGGGTGACGTGACAATGTGGCCCTCGGAGCTCACTGATGGTTAATCAGCAGCCGGAAGGACGCCGCTGTTCTGGCCGCGTCAGTCTGCGGGCATTTTCAGGGACACCGCGTGGACAGCTGCCTATTGGTTGTTTTAAAGCTTCCAGATGGTAGTTTCCAACAAATCTTCAAATACAGAGGAATGCAGATTCAGACTTGTGTCAATAGACCTGAATGATGACAATACCAAGAGCGGCAAGACACGCGTGCAGGAGGATAAACATAAGAATCATGGGCTGGCACGGTCATACTGTAGGTAAAGCCGAGGCCCGTGATGCCAGCATCCCATGTGGGCACCGATTCAAGGTCCGGCAGCCTCACTTGTGACCCAGCTCTGTGTTCATGCCCTGGGAAAAGCAGCAGCAGATGGCTGACATGATTTGGCCCCTGCCACCCACATGGGGTAGTCTTAGAAGACGTTCCTCGGTTCAGCTTGACCCAGCACCCGCCATGGTGGACCTCTGCAGAATGAACCAGCAGATGCAAGATCTCTCTCTCTCTCTCTCTCTCTCTCAACTCTGACTTTCAAATCAATCAATCTTGAAAAGAAGAAAGAAAGAAAAAAAAAGAAATAAAATCAACAGGCCAGGGTTTAACAAAATGAACGCTTCACCGAAGGCTGACCGTGGTTCCGCTCATGTACAAGGGAGCTGGCTGTGTTTTGAGGAGGCAGGTGGGGGAAGGAGGTGGCTTCAGTAAGTCACACGTGCACTATGAGTTACCTCTGGGTCAAGGTTGATGAAATTACCACATGCACTCTGAGGTTATATTCTCTCAGATTTGGGCTGTCCAGAATCAACCACCAAACCATTAGGCCATTAACCATCACATGACAGTTTGGGGGACCCAAGGGACAGGTTTGAAATTAGACGCACGCCAGCAGAGAGCAGTATGGCCAAATGCTCAGGCTTCACTCAGGCAGCAAAGCAAGGTGTCTCAACCTGAAGGAAGGTGCTTCCCGGGTGGCTGGGCTGCTTTGTACAAGTCTCCAAGGTTATTTCTCAGAATAAGAGCACATTTGTTCTCTGAAGCTTCAACGGGAACAACTAAGAAGTGAGCGGGCTGAAGCCGTCTCACTCTGCGAGTGGCTTGTTTAGGCGTTCTGCTCTGGAGTGTCGTGAGCCGTGTCCCGCAGCAGCCAGCGGATGCCGAGCCACGCCCGTGGAGGTTGCGTGACCGGCCGCCACCGGCAGTAACAGGTGGAAACATCTGGGCTGTAGCCATTGAAATGGACATGACGAACACCCCCTTCCAACCCAAGCATCCGTAAACCACGTCTACAGATTCCGAACAGCTCTGCTACAGCCAGCCTGCCTGTCATCATCTAATTCCACACCCAGTTCCGGGGGCAAGTGTCAAGGGTACAAACACGCAAACTAGGACGAATATCTTTCCAAAGAATCACTCGTATCTACTGTATACAGTAAGAATATGGCTGTTGAAACTTTACCTCTCATTTAACCTCAAAGGCAGAGAGAATGAGGGCAGCGGTGCTGAGGAGGTAGTGCCGGAAGTGCAATATTTTACCCCCTGGTTTATTTTTCAAACACCAGCAAAAGATGGGGCCAGACCAGGCTGAGCCCAGGAGCCTGGAACTCCGTCTGCTTCTTCCGTACGGATGGTAGGAACCTAAGAAGTGAAGGCATTATCCACCACCTCCCTGCACGCAGTGTGCTGGTAGGAAACGGTATCAGACGTGAAGGAACCAGGCCCTCCCATGGAGGATGCAGTGATCCAAGGAACCACTTCAGCTGCCTTGCCCAACACTCACTCTAGGAGTGACCCCTTGAAAGCTTTACACATCAGCAGAGAACAAAACCTTCGGCTAGCACTTGAAAACATTTTCTCCTTGCGGAAATTAGGAAACGGGAGCCAGTGGCAACAGATCAACATTGTCAGACAACAACCATTGCAGCAGGACTGTATGCTTAGGCTTTGGGCAGCTCCTCGGGGTCCAAGGCACTCTCGTGTACCCTATTTTTAAACTAACAAGCAAAATGAACAACAAAAAAACCCCACAAGGCCTATAGAAGCAGCTGGTTAGCCTAGGACTTAGGACTCCTGTCCTGCCTTAGAAGCACGGACCCTGACCCAACATCTTAGTTTGTCCTTCGTGCGTACATTGTCCAGGAGGAGGTTGTGGCTCGAGTCGCGGGATTCCTACTCCCTGTAAGGAAGAGTGGGATTGTGTTTCCAGCTTATGGCCCCTTCCCTGGCTCAGCCCCCGGCTGCCCGACTGTCGTGGACATTTCCGGGAGAGAACCAGTGGATGCGAGTTGGCTTACACCGTGTCTCAAATCACGTGTGCTACGGTCCCAGCTCTCTTTCTCGATCTGGCTTCCTGCTGTTGTACATTAAAGGAAAGCAGTGGACGATGGCTCACTACCTGGGTCCCTGCTACCCGTGGATGGGACACCCATAGCATATTTCTGGCTCCAGGCTCCAGGCCCAGCCAGCCACGGAAGTTGTGGGCCTTGGGGAAATAGGAGGTGGCTGGAAGACCTGTCTCTGTGCCTGTGTGGTTTCTATGCGCCCCTAGCTTTCAAATAAAAACAACACCAAGTCCAGCAAACAAAACCTGGCGCTGAAATCACACGAGCAATCCATCGATGCTTAAAATGATCTCAGTTCTTCCTAAAAATATCAAGATACATCTGTCCCAGAATCCAACGAGAAACTTTTCAACAACTGTCTCCTGAGGGCTAATTATTTCTTCTTATATATCAGTTAAATATAGATGACACTTCTTATTTAACGTGCTGCTAAATCCATCCGGCTTGTCAGAGATCTAGCGTTTGACTGAGGACCTGGGAGGGAGCTTGGTCCAGGTGGTCTTTCTCTCCCAGGTAGCTTGAGTTACAATTTTAGTAACTGACTCCGAATGGTGTAAATATCTTAAGGCAGAGTGATGTACAAGTTCCTTGGGACCATTTTCTAAACCCCAAAATATGACATTCTAATTAAGGCCCTCCTAAATATGAGTGCCTCCTACGTGGGTGCTGAGCTGGGGGACAGAGAAATCCAAAATATAAATAGAGCCAGAGATTTTTTTTCTTTTCCCCTCGAGGACTGCCAACATGCAATACGAGACATCCGTGGAATAGGCGCGGCTTGTAAACTTTCCAGCCGGACCAATGCAACATGTTCACTTGCGGAAGAGGAAAGGAGAAAAATGCTTAAAGCCAGGTGGCAGAAAAATAAGCACTCAGTTGAGGCCAACCGAAATACTGAAATCTCCTTTGCTCCCGTGCAGCATAAAGACCTGTTCCTTCCTCAATCTTGGGGAGGCTGCATTTTCTGGAAACAAAACCGTGGAAACCAGGCTCAACAAGCACACGTCCTTTATTGTGCCCACAGGTCCACTCGCCCACCTGACGGGCTATAAATCGTGCACAAGGGCGATTATTCACAATGAGGCTGTTCCCAGGGCCTGGCCACATGCGCGGTCAGTGAATCACCACGACTCTCGAGAGCAGGTGCTGTCTGGGGACAGGGAAACTGAGGCTCAGGGAGGCTATGCAGCCACCCAGGCACGGGGCGTTCCCAACACCAGCAACTCCAAGATGGCAAGCACCCACCAAGTCCGCCCGTGTGCTGTGCTGTGCTCCCTGCCAGGGGCTTTCAGAGACACTGCCTCCCAGCATTGCCGCTCTGAGATGGTGTCTAGGAAAGGGATTGTAGCCCTGAACACCAGGAATTCCAGAGGCCTCCTCGAGCAAGCCAGCGGGGAGACAGAACTGCGTCCAGTGAGCCAGATGTGAGAGAGTGGTTCCCTGACAAATGGCAGAGAGGAGCGCGGAGTGACAGCAGCTGGCTGGCTGGCTGGCTGGCTGGCTGGCTGGCTGGCGGCCACGCAGAGCCTGATGCCCCAGACATCGGCCGGCCGCTCCAGCCAATGACAGGGCCCTTAGCCAAAGTTCAGCCCACGATGATGATGATGATGCTGTTAGGTTTTGAAGTTTTGAAAAACGGGAAGCGGAAGAAAAGGGGAAACTGCCTGAAGCTTTTATTCCAAAGGCAGTAACTTTTGGGGGGGGGGGACAGGCATTTGCTACTTTTGAACCCCTAAAACCAATAGGAAATAACCTCCCAGGGAAGCACGTGGATTGCCCCAGCCCCCTGCATCGAGTGACTTCTTTTTATATCCTTGGAAAACACTGCAGCCATCACACTGCGATGCAAGGCCCAGCTTTTCAACATACATCAACCCTCCCCGTGCCCGGCTAACCCCACCCCACCTTGTATCTTCGTAGGTCCCCTCCTCAGGGGTTCCAGCAGCTGCAGACTCCTGCACACGCCTATCAAACATCCAGGCACATCTGGCTAGAGATACAGAGGCCGCAATCTCTAGAGACCCAGGCCAGAAAACAAGTCCGAGGAAGTTGCGGAGTGAACCTCTCTTATTTGGTGGGATGTCCCTTTATACCAGCGGCCAACGCGAGTCAACATTGAAGACCCCAGCCTCTGGCTCTGCAAGGCACATCCAAATGGTGGACTGCCTTGGAGCCTGCCGGAGCTCCAACAGAAACACGACCAAGCTGGGCTTGTGGTCAAGTTCTTCTTCTGGATGTCTCTTATTGCTCTTGTGTCAATGAGCAGCTGATCTGGACCCAGGGGGATGGGGCTGTTCTTGGGAATCCTTCTGGGGGCATATACTTGCCCCAGAACTGCCAACAGAACCGGCAAGTAATCTGAGATGGCAGGGCCCACGAGGAGGGGCCAGAAACCCCCGAACTCTTGGCCAAACAGCTCCTCCTCCTTCGTTCTCAGCATTTCTGCAAACTCCCTACAGAGGAGCCAGGACTCAACAGCCAACACCTTGCCAATACTTAGTCTCTGTCTGTCAGGCTGTGTCACCTTTCCAACGAGGGTCTCCTTCCTGATACAAGAGACGTACCGAATGGCGCACTCCCACCTCAGCCACGTGCGCCCAACACCTGCCGGTGTACCGAGAGTTGCCGTAAAGAACTCGACACGGAGTAAATATCACGGTTACTCAGTGTCCCATCTGTTACCGACCCACCTTTCGAACGACACGACGTGCCGCCTGCCAAGCAGGATAGCCATCCCGTGATTATCAGGTAACCAAAGGCAGCCTAACTCGTTTATCCTTCCCGACACTGCTGACTGGCACCTTCAAAAGACTTTGTTTTCATTTTCAAATAATTACTCATTGTTTAAAATAGTAGGGGGTGGGGCGGGGAGGGGAGTGTCCAGCACGGCTTTCTCAAGTTCACATGCAAAAGTTTTGCACGGGAGACACAGAAACTTTGCTGAAATGCCACACAACTTTCGTAGGAGGAAGGGAGAAGTTCTCGCCCACGCAAGCGCCGGACAGAACGACAGAACAACGGAACACTTTTTCAGGAAGTGTCTGTTTGTTAAAGGAATCTTGACATCAACGAGGTACCTTAAGCATATTACAATTCATTTCCCCCCTCCCCTCACAAAACTTGCTTTGTCATCCCAACCCCTCTCACATCACAACAAACCTCCCAATGTCCTCCTTCAGTTTAGACTGTCAGGAAAAAAAAAACTTAAAAATAGTGACCATGACTTAACCTCCTCCGAACCATCTTGAACACAAAACTTACACCGAAAGAAGCAGCCAAGGAGGCAGGGTGGCCGTTTTCAACATGGTAGGAGGCCATTACCCCAAGCGGCAAGCAACTCAAGAACCAACTGCCAACTTGGTCCACCCCTTGCTCCGTAGGGGCCGGAGGCTCAGGGCGCCAGGATCCGCCACCCACCTGTCCTTGTAGTTGATGACCGTGTCGATGATGGCGTTCATCTGTCTGGTCAGTTTCGGGGGATTGGGCGAGAGCTTCTCGGCTGGGGGGCGGCCCCGTCTCTTTTTAGCCTTTTCCACGTCTTCCTTGGCGGGGTCCTTGTCCACGTTTCTTCGCCTCTTTCTCTTTTTCAGCCGTACTTCCTCCTCCATTTCCTCTAAGTTGCCGTCTTCAATGGCCTGTGCGTCGGAGACAAAAGCAGGACAACTCAAAGGTAAGGAGCTACCCAAGACAAATCTCTCCGTTTCCTGCATGTTATAAACACATACATACAGCAGCTTTTATGAATTACAGTGGGGTAAACCAAACAGATCAAAATTCATAGTAATTCGTGGAGGCAGACATAAAAAGGCAGGCCACCATATTGATGATAAGTGCCTCTATAAACCAAGTCTGCTTCAAGAACAAAACAGGCCCAGAATAACCATCGTCAAAAAAGAAAAAAAAAAAAATGACAGGACAAACATGAAGCCTTCTGCACACTAAGGTGTCTGAGGATAAGAGAATCCCAACGCAATTTGAGCTCCACACGAGAAAAAGAATCTAATTGTTTCCTTACTACAAGCAAAGAAAGGGTAAACAAAAACAAAAAAAAATTAAAATGAGGGGTGGCTCCAGGAAAACAATTTTTTCCTTTGGAAACACAACCACACAAATCCACGCAACCTGACCACCTCCAACGTGACATCAATGAAGCCATGAAGCACAACATACATCCAGATTCCATCCAGATTTTGTTTGTAACTCAGCATTAGTAAACAGGGAAGACCGAGAAGTACAAAGCCACATTCCTTGGTAAACGCAGTTAAATCAACCATCAAGAACGCGCGCGCGCACACACACAGACAGCAAACACTTTTTGTTCCAATTACCTGCAAACGCTTGCTTTAAACCAGAGCCAGCAGCACTAATGCAGAGAGATAATAAAATAGCTATAAAAAACAACCAGGTAGAAAAAAAAAAAAAAGAAACCTGCTCAGAAAGAAGGACTAAAAACATCCATGTGACAGACCCAGAAGTTTCAACTTTTTTTTTTTTTTCCTGGTAAGACTCAAAACTTAAGAAGAAAAAAATAAACGGAGGGGGAAGAGACTATAAAACAAAATAAAAATTGGATAAAAGAGAATCTAACCTCGGGGGCGGGGGCATAATTTTTCTCTTTTTCTTTTTTTTTTTTTAAAAAAAAAATGTTCTTTGAAATTATATTTGGAGACTGCTTTCTCCCATAAAATAACTGATGTAATTTCTTCCTTCTGCCCTCAGTAGTGCCTCCCCGTATGCAAATGCTAATCAATTCTTTCCCGGAGCTGAAAGAGCTCTAATCATAAGGCAATTACCTTCATTTTTGTACAGCACCAAACATGGCTAATATTTATGATCATGTGAGTATAACAATCAATATAAAAAGTGATTACAGCTCAGACAGAATTTCTTTCACTTATATATATATACAATGCCTCCTTAAAAAAAAAAAAAAGGTCTTATGAAGAAAAACCTGCGAGAAAGGACAAGACAACCTGGCATATTAAAAATGCCAATGGGATTTCAGAGAGAGAGAGAGAAAAAAAAAAAAACACCGCCACATAGGATTTCTATGCATCGTCCAACGTGCCAATCCACAGAAAGCATGCAGACAGAATCCTAAGGGAGGCTCTCAGCCTAGGCCTCAACCGTGAAGACACTTCCCATCACAGCCCTACAGTGTTCAGACCTGACGAATTATGAAGAGAAAGCAAGAGGGAGAGAAAAAAAAAAAAAAAGCAAAAAAGGAAAGGAAAAAAAAAAGAGCTCCACATTATTTCATTAATATTCATTTGACTAAAAAGCAGGACACTCACTCTGGCTAAACACACTGCAGCTCAGCAAAGATGGAAAAAAAAAAAAAGGAGATTGTCTCTCCCGCATTATCTTGGAGGGTGAACATGCTAATCAGAAAATACGGCATGCAGGCTTGTGGACAGTGAACGGTCCTGCTGGACCTCGAGCACCCAACTGCACACAGGAACGCGGAGGACACCACCACCACCATCATCAGCTCTGACTGTGCTGCACACCTATCGTATGCCTGGGCTTGTAGTTCTTAACTGATTCTTCAAGACGGCAACGAAAAAGGATATTTACCTTACCGCTATCGGCAGGCCGGCTATCGGAAATCACAGTTAGTGGGGATAAAATTAACAAGCCGGCAAAACAGCGAGCGCCTACTTTCTTCATCAGCTGATCGGGGGAAAAAAAAAAAAAGAGAGAGAGAGAGAGAGAGACAGAGCTGGGAAAGGCTATGTTTTCATATACAAGTAATTTTATTGTACTGAAAATTTAATACTGAAAGCATCGTGGATAGCCAAATCTGCTGTTTCACTGTAGCTTACTACAAGGCCCCGAAGCCTTCCCTCCTTCGGTCTGTTTTAATATTGACAACTACTCATCAAAGCCTCTGCCTCCCCCCCCTACCCCACCACCAACCACTATTCCAGGCAGCAGAATTAGAGATTTTTTTTAAGCTCAGGTGGTATGTTGCCTGCTGACATTCTAACAATTAAGCCAGAACAAAAACAAATTAATATTCAAATTAAAAAAAAAACTTAAAAACAAGGCATGATGGGGCTTTGGGGGGGTGCTATTTTATACCTTATAATGGTGCCCCCCCGCGGCCCCCAACCCCCCCACCCACGCTAAAAAAAAAAAAAACAAAAACAAAAATCAAACTGCAAGATTCTGGAGCAGTCTAAACTGATTTTTCAGAATAGAAGACAATTTAAAAAAAATTTTTTTAAATGCATGTCCGTGACAGCAACGTACATTCCTACCCGCCCCCCCCAAAATTCAGTTTTTTTTTTTAACACATTCTTCTCCCCTTGAAGGGCAATCCGAACAACTGCTGCCACTTTCAGTTTTTCACGCTGCAAATTTTTCGTTGCTTTTTTTTTTTCTTTTCTTTTCTTTTCAGTGGGAGGCATGAAGAGGAGGGGGAGGGGGAGGAAATATGTGCAAAGAATATTTCTACTCTCACCCCTCTGATCTTGGAAATCAGGAGCAGGAAGCACTAAGCTTGTGGCGTAGGGACTTCCAGACTCCACATCTGTGAGTCACTTAGAAGTGGAAAACAAAAACCAAACTAAATCGCAACCCAAAACTAGTGCAACGATTTGTTGTTATTATTATTATTATTACAATGGCTTTTGAGATCTCCTATTCCATTTAGCTCCTGGCAAGGGCAAGGAGATACACCAAGTTCTGACGACTGCCTTCTCTTAAATGAAGCTTTTCTGCAGGAATGCAGAGAGCCGCAAAAGACCCCCGTCGCCTCCTCTTTTCGCCCTAACACCCCTGCTCCCATCTCTCTCTCCACCCTGTGACGGCTAAAGGGGTGGGGGGGCGCAGTTCCTATAGGCAATAAATTCCACCCAACATTTTCCAATGCTTTCCACACTTCATAGATGGGAAGATTTCTCCTGTGTGAAATACAATTATCCGTGGAGGTTTTTCAACTGGTCTGTATCTTTTTTTAAAAAAAGCTTTTTTTTTAAACTAGCTCAACTGACTCAACTCAGCTCTGGAGAGGGGGAAAGGGAAGAGAGAGAAGGAGGGGGGCGCACACACACTCCGTCTAGGTCGGTCTCTGTGTCTCCCTCTTTCTCTCTCTCTCTCTCTCTCTCTCTCTCTCTCTCACACACACACACACACACACACACACACACACAACTTGCTCCACAAGGCTCCAGTCCTACCCCCGGAAAGAATTCCCTCCCAAACCTTTTACCAGCACAATAATGGAATAAATCACAAAAGCAAACCCCCAGTTTCCGACTGGTGACGTGTTGCGCAAGAATACGCGAGCCCTAATTCAACATACAGACGGATCCCATGGCTGAACTGCCTCGAGATTTAATGAAGTGAATAGGAAGGAAGTCGGGGGGGAAAAAAAAGTGTACAAATAAGAAATTAACACTTTCCTTCCCTCCAAAACCCCGGTGAGCCCGCTGACTACAGGCAAGTTTGGCGCGGCACCTCTTAAAGGTACACCGCACTCGCTGGGCTCGGATGTCACCAGAAAAAAAAAAAAAAAAAGAAAGAAAGAAAAAAAAGAGTGAGGTGGAGAAGGAAAAAAAAAGCAAAACAAACCCAACCCAAGCCAACCCAACCCAATCCAACCCAACCCAACCCAAGCCAACCCCATCTGGAGCGAGAAGAGCGCCCAGCCAAGTAAAAGAGTTAAGCCCATTGTAGCCTGCCTGTCTTTCCTGAATGAAGCCAGGAGTTACTCGGTCTTCCACTGGGTGGCAACCTCGCCCCTACCCCCAACCTCCCCCCCCCCTTTTTTTCTTTCTTTTATTTGCAGTCTGGCTTAAAAAGAGGACGTTTCCGTGACACTCGGTGGGCAGGAAGCCACCCCTGTCTGTCTGTCTGTCTCTCTCTCTCCCCGCGCCCTGGAGGGGGAAGCCAGGGAGGTGTGGAGGGCTGCAGGGTGAGCTTGCTGAGAGCCAGTGAGCAAGCTGGGCAGCTGGCAGAGCACATGGCAGACCCGGGACTGGGACCCACGTGGGCTGCGGCGGGGGTGTGTGCCTGTGGGTGGGTGGGTGGGTGGCTCTCTGGTGCGCGCGCGCGCACACACACACACAGCCTCTGCCTGCTCCCGTAGGCTGACGGGTGGGGTCTGAAGGGGCTTGCTGGCCACGGCCACCCGGACGCCGGCTTCTCCAGGCCGAGGCGATCCCAGCCCGTGTGCCATCACGCCGCCGGATCCACGCGCTTCAGGAATCGGGGATGGGGCGGGCGGTGGCGCAGGGATGTGCGCGCACGCTGATGGCTGCGGTACTTTGTCTCTCAGCCTGGGGCTGGTGAGGGGGTCCTGGGGAGAGGGGGAGGTGGGGAGTGGCTGGCGTGGCTATTACCCTAGGCGCTGGAGGGACGACGACGGCCACCTCGACCATGGAGCTAGTCTGCACAGGCATCCAGACAATGCCTGACAGATGGGAAATTCTGTATTGCCGGGAGTAACCGAGATTTACATAATCCCGTGTCTGTCCACAGGCGCCATGCTTGCTGCTCTCTCCCTCTCTCTCAGCCTCTAGCGGTGTGTATGTGGGAAGCGGGGAGGGGCTCTTCTTAGGGACTCCAGCTGGATTCCATAAGAGGCCCCCCCCTCCTTCCCTTTCCCCTCCCATCCTCCCCTGCCCCG